AGTCAAGTCAAGTCAAGTCAAGTCAAGTCAAGTCTATTCTATTCTATTCTATTCTATTCTATTCTATTCTATTCTATTCTATTCTATTCTATTCTCCTTCCTTCTTTCATTCTATTCTATTCTATTCTATTCTATTCTATTCTATTCTATTCTATTCTATTCTACATTTCATTTTCATTGTTTCATATTGTTTAAAGATACCTACCATAATACTACCTACCGCCCTTCAATTTCTAAACCTCCCTCTTATTATTACATATTATATTAATATACATATACTATAATTCCCCACTTATTTCTATCTCTATTTCATGCCACCGTAATATTCAAAGACATTTCTTTTCTATCTTCCATCTATCACATTTGTCCTTCATCACATTTCCCTTATTTAGCTCTTCACGTCTATTTATATTAAAGTTTCACCCTTCATTCTTTCAATGTTCAGGGTTTCAATGTACACTTCCAGTACCAATCGCAATCATTTAAACATAGAGAATAAATCTATTCAAAATATGTCTTTTTAAGCCGTAGGGAAAGGACGTACACCAGGATATGTTGACGAAGGAAGGCTCCGGCAATGTAATAAATAACCTGACAGCAAATCAAAGGAAATCCAGAATATCAAACACTCGCCCACACTGGCTATTTCAGAGCTTTTTGGCACTTTAATGCTGCATCTGTCAACCCAAACAGCAGCTTGGCAACTCCATGTTCTGCTCCCACCTCCGCCAAAGAAGAGATAGGGCAAGAGTCAGCAACCTGCGGCCCCAGAGCCAGATGTGGCTCTTTGGGCCCTCTGCTATGGCTCGCTATCGGGTGGTCCCACCACTGGGCTATCCTGTATACTGGAAGATGCTATCCTGCCTCCTTCTCTTCACTAGATTAGACATATCCAGTTCCTGCCAATGTTCATCCTGTGTTTTAGTCTCCAGGCCTTTGATCACCTTAGATAGATTCAGATTAACAGAGCTGGAAGGGACCTTGTAGGTCATCTAGTCCAACCCCCCGCCCAAGCAGGAGACCCCACACCATTTCTGACAGATGGCAGTCCAGACTCTTCTTGAAAGCTTCCAGTGATGAAGTTCCTGCAACATCCAAAGGCAACTTCTGTTCCATGGGTTGATTATTCTCACTGTCAGAAAATTTCTCCTTATTTCCAGGTTGAATCTCTCCTTGATCAGTTTCCATCCATTGTTCCTTGTCTGGCCTTCAGGTGCTTTGGAAAACAGGTTGACCCCTTCCTCCTCTCTGTGGCAACCCCTCAAACTCTGGAAGACTGCTATACATATCTCCCCTGGTCCTTCTCTTCACTAGACTAGCCATGCCCAGTTCCTGCAACCGTTCATCATATGTTTTAGCCTCCAGTTCCCTCATCATCTTGGTTGCTCTTCTCTGCACTCTTTCTAGAGTCTCCACCTCTTTTTTTATACTGTGGCAATTGGTTTAAATGCAAGTCCATTTGGAGGATAAATCATGCTTTTCAGCCAGAACCCATACGCGGTTTAATCCGTGCAACCGACAACATCCTTTCCTGCTCTTCTTGTGCTATTATAGAATCTTTCCAAGTTTATATTATAGAACCGTGATGGCAAACCTATGGCAGGCGTGCCACAGGTGGCACGTGGAGCCATATCAGTGGGCACGCGAGTTGCCCTAGCTCAGTACCGGCCAGCTGATTTTCAGGCCTTCCGGGCCCACCGTAAGTCGGGAAACAGGCTATTTCTGGCCTCCGGAGGGCCTCCAGGGGGGTGGGGAAGGCCATTTTCGCCCTCCCCAGGCTCCTAGAAAGGCTCTGGAGCCTAGAGAAGGCAAAAAACGGGTCTTCCAGTTCCACTGGAAGTCGGCAAATGGGCCATTTCCGGCCTCCGAAGGGATGGGGAAGGCTGTTTTTGCCCTCCCCAGGCTCCAAGAAAGCGTCTGGAGCCTGGGGAGGGCAAAAAACGGGCCGACTGGGCCCAACGTGCCATCGCGTGCCAAAAGCGGGGGGAGCGCAGGGATGTTGCCCGCGCATGCGTGGGGGGGGCCGCACTGAATTATGGGTGAGGGCCCGTGTGGGCGCAACCCCCCGCTTTTGGCACACGATGGCAAAAAGGTTAGCCGTCACTGTTATAGAACGTCTCCACTGCGTAAACAATCTTGGTGGGTTTTGTTTTTTTTTTTACTTTTGATTTATTGCACACCGCAAACCGACATTGCTGCTGTCTTCGGATGTCTGTTAAGCAGCTATTTTTAGCCCCTTGTTGTTATTTATGATCTCGCATAGAAAAGATCAGAATCCACCAGCCATATGTTCCTCTAAGTCATGTACCTTCATCTGGTTGGCTTAGGAGACCGGCCAGGGTCACGACACGAGCTGCTGAGGACAGCGGTTTTATTGTACTGCTTTTTGCATTTTTTAAAAAAAAATACCCCTCTTTTCCCTTCTGCTCATCTATGTATGCCGTTACCTTCCTTACTGAATGCAAATTCATGCAGCAGCCCAGAGGTTTTTCTTTTCCAG